GACAACTCCATAACGGATTTTATTCTGATTTGCGAGATCCTCTACTGACTCGATGGGAGGAGCCATTTTCTCTGAAAGCCTTATTTATACTTGCGGTTGCCTAATTATGGAGGATCTCTGAAAGAAGATAACCTAAAGTTAGAAATGCAGCAAGATTGGCCGTGTATGAGGAAACGATGATCAGCGTGAAGAACCACCAAGCGGACGATGCTATTCGACCAGAAAGAGCCCTGTAAGGAGCCGAATCAGGTCTAAAAAAGGCGAGAAGGTTAAAGAAGCTGTGTTGACAAACTTCGGAAGAATATCGGTGCCTTGCTGCATGAAAGCAGCTAGTGTGAACCAGAGGGAGTTGTACATAGAGAACTCATTCGACACCGAGAATTCACCGCGATTGAACTGAACCCGTTGCTCGTAGGGAGAAAACGAAGATACCAGGAAAATTGTCAAGGATACCTGAAAATCACCATAACCTTGTCTAAGATCTTTTATGAAGCCTGTTCCGAGGTATTTCCATGGTTACCTACTATCGCTTGCGCTTTTTGCCAACTATCTTACAGGTCTTCATAGCTTTATCATGGCCTCCATCCTGTCTCCATTCTTTACTTGCAAGTATCTTGCTAGTTATAGTTGACTCATGCCAACACCGATCCAGGAGACTCTAGTAGTTTCAGGCATGAAGAAATCGTTGGAGATTTTGGTACGCTTAGACTCCTAAGAAAATATGCTGTTGGATCTCAAACCGGCTCTACTGGAATTTATCGAGAGCCGATCGTAGCTACTACGAAACTAGCGCTACAGTTGCCCATTAGGACTCATTCAACACGTAGGCTCCTAACTTTGTTACTGGTGTATGCTCAAGTAATCCCATGAATTCACGTTTCTCTAATTCTATTCATAACGAGGTATCTGGTAGCCATGCCAACTATAAGAGAAAAAGATCTGTACCTACCTCATCTAGCGTTAAAAATATAAAGGCTTTTTAGAATGAGTAGATTTCCTTCGAGAGAGACCTGATCACTAGATTTGCTACAGAAGCGGAGATGCTTAATTTCGAATTTCCGCCTCGATTTTATTCGAATGCTTAATTGTTTGTTGCTGCTGTACTAGTCAAAGTTTTTATTCTCCTGGACAAGATCGGTATGGATCGATTTATCGCTAGTGCGTGGAAGGTTTTGTGTTCTCAAGAGGCGGTATAGGTCCGAGATTTCTTCCCCCCAAGCACATACATATGAAGCAAAGCATCACGTGGCGCTACTCCGCTCTCGTTTTGATTCCGCTAATAAAGAGCTCATAAAGAAAGGATAATTATCATTGCTATAATGGTCATACAATATTATTAGCCTTTCCGCTTTTTTTGCTGAAATGTTTATAGAGCGTGCCCAAACTCATGTCACGTTTTTCTAAGTGTCATCACAATGCATTGAAGATTATTTGCGTTTCAAAAGCCAGTGGCAACGAGGTTAAGCATTTTCAAAAACAGCAGGAGGGTAAACTTCTGAATTGCTCACCCCAACGTAGGAACATACAGTGAGAATCCAAATGCGCATACCAAGCGGCTCCATGAATGAGAAGATGTTGAACTCTTGCTTTTCAGGTTTCTTGATCATGATTGAAATTCCTTCAAAGCAAAACTCGATTAGATGCTTTCTTTCATTTCTCTTTTAATCGCTTAAAACTTAAAAAATAACTGAATAACCTGTAGTCATGAATGGCTTGGAAAAGTCCACTGCTCTCTCTCGTTCTTGAGTGATCGTCAGCGGAGCAACAGCAATATCAGCAGTCTGTAATAAGGAACTACTGTGAAAAGTAGGCTAGCTTTACGTAGGATTATTTCAGACTACTCTACTTTCCTACTTTGATGCCTCAAAGGTATGCGTTTATTGCATTAATGTACTTTGTTTTTCAGCAACGTCGTTGTTCAGAACAGAGGGTTAAGATTCAACTAATATCTATATCTAATCCCCGCTTGCCCAGACTAACCAAACCTTCCTTCCTTCAGGGGCGGTGAATTAATACCAGGCCCGTTTGGGAGGATATAAACACTGACTCGTATTACATCAGCTGGCCACCCCAAGTCATCGGATAGGCCACATACGCATAGAAGCTGCCGCTGCAATCGTGTATGGAGGTAATGCGATGGCGCATCCCGATACGCAATTGATTGAAGGTCTATTCCTTCACCATCTGATGTGCTTTTTAATGCGCTCCTATTATTAAACGATTTCGTATCTAGGCAACTGTTAGGTTGATCGAACATTCATTTCAGAAGATTGCTAAGCCGGTTATAAACTACGGTTGACCCATGAAGTTCTTTTAAGGCATCCTAGATGCTCTAACAGGCGAGCTGTTCAAGGGTCACCTACTCACGATTCTGAATAAGACCTAAAGCTGAAGCTTGTACCAAGCAGAATCTTCAAGAGGAGAACGTTCTCCCCTTCAGGAGGATTTAATGACAAGATTATTCAATGAAGTCATCCTTAGTAGAGAAAGTATTACATATTCAGAAGTACACTCTACCTCGTTCAATAGGTATCCAAGCATTCCATCCCAACTACCGTCCGCCTGACGTGCCCCGTATCTAAACACGTTCATGTTCTATGAATGCATGGACAATGCTATAAACTCATACTTGTTTCCATCAGAAAGGAAGATTTCATATTCGAATCCAGAAATATTCTTTGCCAGCAGCTTGAGTAAGTCTATGCAGTAACCTTCGAAACGATCATTGCCCTTGTGAGGTATTTCACCCGGATTACTTCTTCTTACCATAACAAACGGCTTTACCTGAAATAGGTGAAGTTTTCAGATCTTTCGAAGTCACTAGAAACTTGAAGCGGGAACAGTAGTAGGAAAGGCG